GCTCTCCAGAAAGAAAGAGACTGTTATGTTAAAATTGGCTCATATTAATATTCATGGGTCAGGATTTGTTAGTAGATAAAAATGGCAGCTGGAGAACACAAAGGAAACGGATCAATAAACTGTGGAAACATCAGAGATCTTTCCAGCCCAATGAACTTCCTTTATATCCATCAATCTGCTAACTTTCTGTAGGCAAGCAGGAGAGAATGCAAGAGATAACAAGGTGTAGAGCTGGATGAACACAGCAGGCCAAGCAGCATCAGAGGAGCAGGAAGGCTGACGTTTCAGGCCTAGATCCTTCTTCAGAAATGGGGGAGGGGAAGGGGGTTCTGAAATAAATAGGGAGAGAGGGAGAGGCGGATAGAAGTTGGATAGAGGAGAAGATAGGTGGAGAGGAGACAGACAGGTCAAAGAGGCGGGGATAGAGCCAGTAAAGGTGAGTGTAGGTGGGGAGTTAGGGAGGAGATAGGTCAGTCCAGGGAGGACGGACAGGTCAAGGGGGTGGGATGAGGTTAGTAGGTAGGAGATGGGAGTGGGGCTTGAGGTGGGAGGCGGGGGTGAGCTGGGCTGGTTTTGGGATGCGGTAGGGGGAGGGGAGATTTTGAAGCTTGTGAAGTCCACATTGATACCATTGGGCTGCAGGGTTCCCAAGTGGAATGAGTTGCTGTTTCTGCAACCTTCGGGTGGCATCATTGTGGCACTGCAGGAGGCCCAGGATGGACATGTCGTCAGAGGAATGGGAGGGGAGTTGAAATGGTTCGCGACTGGAAGGTGCAGTTGTTTAGTGCGAACCGAGCGTAGGAGAGAATGCATACGTCCTACACATCCTCTGAGAAAAACAAGAATGCGGTTGGATATCAGATTTTGTGGGGTTGGGGAAATTGGAATAAAAATGTTGAAGGTTGAGCTTGGACTGGATTTGGCCAACATTTCAAGGATTTTATTAAAACAAGAAACTATTAATTCCAGCAGTAAATGCTGAATGTGACTCAGGAAATGACAGAGGCCACAATGGGACTACAACGTGTTCAGCATTCTATGTAACAAAGACTTCAGGAAATGAAATAAACAGAATTTTCAGATGCAAACCTCATCCCTGTACCTTCAAGTAATTTGGGTGCAAATGACCACATTATTTGTATTTCTGTATCATCATTGTATACTTGCTGCAAAATGAGAGGGAAGAGTAATATTGGACTTCCTGTGTAATTGAACAAATATTCAACCTCTTAGCTCTAACATTTTCTGCAGAAGGAATAGGAGCACACACAGCTTTAGTAAGACACCATTTCTGCAATAAAAATATGTTGCCTGAGACCATGAGACCTGCAATGATCTCATCTTACCAGGTTGTCCTACCTGAAGTCTCTGGCACTGACAACACCAAGGTTGGTCCCTTTACAGATCATGGGTGGATATCTGTATCCCTGGAGATTTAGCTCATGTGCTTGGCTTTATGAAATGCCACAAACTTACATGTGTAATCTGACCAGTCTGAGGAGCTGTCATTCTTCCACTCCTGTCAGAAATAAACAGTAGGCAGAATCCATTGAGCAATGTGGGTGCTTGTTGAATCTATGGCAAAATTGGATGTTAGTGGCCTGGCATGTGATAATGCTGGGAGCAACTCATGCCATATTTTATGTTTTGCATAAGTAACCAGTTGAGATTCTTGCTAGGCAGCAGTGAATTGCCAATTGTTAGGGATTATTGTGTGTTAAACACCTTATTAAAAGACCATGTCACCTTATTCCTATTTAATATTCATATTCATTTATCAAACTCAACATCAGGAAAATTTGACAAGGAAACCAGAGTGAGCACCTGGTGGACTCAGCTTGCCACTTGCTCTGAAGGCAGTCTATGTTGGAAATGGACACTGACATCTCAAAGTACAATCCACGGGAACCAGCCACATGCATTCAACATCTATGGACGTTGCATCTGACATGTGCCAGTCTCTAAGAAATTCCATGGCAAATTTCCAATCCACTTGCCATGTGCTTCTGCACTTCAATGCTGCACCTTTGCTGTACCAAGGACTATCATTGTAATGATGCAGTAATAAAGGACATTGCACACTCAAGGACATGCACTCAGCTCGTGATGGGACCAAGCTGCAACTCCAGGCTCTTCACTTTCTGTCATAGTGCTCACTCACTCTTAGCCTACCCGGATACTGACAGCATCCTGGCCTTATCTTGCCTTGCTTTCTTCAGCTTTGACCCCTTACCTTATATAGCAGGCTGCCTTACCTTGCCATTTAGTGCAGGCACAAGGGTAGTAACGTTGTCATAGTTGTCAGTAGGCCTCAGTCAAGTCAAAGGGGGCATCCGAGGGTATTCCAGCACAGCAAGTCATGGGCAGCCTCTGATACCACTTCAGGCCCTGTTTGGAGTAGTCAGAGTCAGGATACTTTGCTGATAAGGAGTGAAGAACTGAATTTTGGGCAGCCCATCACCCATATCAAATTTTCTGCCCTTTTATGGCATGCTTTCCTCATGGAAAGAGACAGGTAATACAGGAGATGAAAGTGAGTGCATGACTATTTCTATTGGTGTAAGTGAGGAGGCTGCACTGTGGACGTGCAACATTATTGGTATTGAGGGTTAGGATGAATGAGAGTAAATGGGTAAGATGTTGCAGGCAGTAGCAAGTGTGGTAAAGCATGAATCTTGGTAGGAAATAAGGGCAATAGCAGAGATGGAATGAATAAACCATCAAAGAGAAGATGATGGCATTAACACTGGCATAGTAGAGAAGTATACTGACGTCCATTCAACAGTGTTGGGCATTTCTCCAGTTGCTGAGACTGCTTTAAGCTAGGTGGCAACCTCGGACTGAGCTGGCATAAAGCAAAGTACTGTTTTATCACTGTTTACCATATTGGGGCAAGTGTCAACAACCGTGCAGGATGACATGTTGACTGACAGGGCCTGGCCTGATGCGAAATAAGCTTTTAGAGGTGGCATGGGTGCAAGAGATACTTGAACATTCCAGGAAAAATGCTGAGAAATCCCAAAGCATAGGTAATTAATTACATGATTTTGGTTAGATATGGCAAGACAACTTGATGGGCTTTGTGGCGACAAACCTGAAAAAAGTCATGATGCAACTTCAACTTTGCCAAAAGCACGCAAGACTAAGCCCTGTGCCCTTTTGTGATGGACTCAAAATGGGAGTTAGTGGTGTCTACTGCTGCCAACATCTTATAATTTGCACAGTCCTCACTACTTGTTACCATTTTATGATATTGACTATGACCTGAGATTTCTTGGGTAGATTCACAGCCATGTATCCTTCTTGCTGGTATTAGTCTAGGGCACTGATTCCATATTTTAAAAAAAAAAGTGCACACCTTAGCAGAAAATAGACTTTGTCTTTGTTAAACAGTAAAAGTTTATTGCATATTACTTAGTAATTATTTATGATAGATCTGCAATATATGATTTTTTTCTAAGAGAGTCATCAGGTTCACCCTAAGGGCAAGTGGATAATGCTCCTTTAGCCAAACGCTATTCACTCTAAGAACAATCACTGAAAGTTTACTGGAAATAGATAGCACCTCCCAGTTCTTTATAGAGATTTTCCAGTCAACCTGATCAGAGATGGCATTACAGATCTCTGTAGCAGGTAGGACTTGAACCCAGGACTCCTGGCTCAGAGCTTGGGAACTGCCACTGCACCACAAGAGCTCTCACAACAATTTGTATGTATTCCTGAAGATTGGAGCTAATCTTGTGATGTCAGCTAACACTTTCAGGAACGAACCACGTTATACAACATTTCTCCTGAAGTTTTATTCTGGTTATGTAACTCTTGATACAATCTTTCGAATAAGTAAGTAAATCTTCTCCCAAGTAGTTGATCTTATAAAGGATTGATGACTTGGTTGAGTTAAAAACTTGCTGTTTGAGGATGAAACATTCAGCTGCAACTCATTGCTATACAGCAATCTCAGTAGATCTTTGGTTTCTAGACTTTCCTTTGCAGAAAACTGATGTTTTCTGGCATCAGTGTTGGTGTTGATTTTCCTTTTTTTTCCCTTGGAGGATCTTCAGTTTCCTCAAATGGTGTCAGAGAAGATAGTTGTGTTTCAAAAGAAGTAGAATTCTCCTGTTGGTGAAGTAATGAGATATACCCGTATGTAAGCCTTCCATCCTTGCTCCAATTCTTTTGAATAAAATTGGCATCTTATCAGATTCAATCATGGACATCAAAGCTAATTCTGCTGTTTTGATACCACTTCTTCTGAACAGCTGAATTCTGTGTCAAGAGCTCACTTCTAGTCATTGTAGTGTCAAATTAATCTTGAGTGGAGTATTTTTCCTCTTAAATTCATCGACCAATCTTTTGAGACCTAAGAAGTCTTCCTCTTGTAAAGAAAAGAGGATTGGTCATTGAGTATTTGGCCTTTGACCTAGTTGAGTTTCTTCGACATGCAGTACAATTTTAAGACTAATGTGTGTTTCTGCTCAGGAATGAGAAGTGTTGTTTCTGATGATGTATGCTTTTTCCATATAGTATGGGTATTTGTATTTTAAAAGTGATCTCAGCATATTCTTGACCTTGAGTGGTGTCTGGCCTGCATACTGCAGTTCCCTCTCAGAAAGTTGTAGTTTCAATCTCCTCAACCCTGGAGTTTTTCAGATGATATAGTAACACTCACTCTGAGAGAAATTTGAAGTTAATCAGATGACCGTTAACCTATATGATTTGTTTCACCTCTCATTCAGATAAGTTATCTCTTATCCTTAGGAAAGATTGACTGATATTTTCCAAAGGTGATATATTAGCACGTGTGATCTATTGAAATTAATACTTGGTATTTTGGATTTTCTTCTATAATTGCTCATTACAACGTGTAAACCTTTTTGTGCGTGCTGTGGCATAACAATTGTTTCTGATTTTGACTTATACAACAGACTTTGAAATAATATTTTTTTAAAAATGAACGTATCTTTTATTTCTACCGGGGTCCAACTACCAGATAGGATCCACAACCTCTATGTGACAGCCTGATACACCCGATCCTATCACAGTCAATAAAGGACTGGACACAGACACCACTGGAAATAGGAGTGCTTCTTACATCTCCAAGGATGCAGACAGATCCTCCACAGTTTACAAGGCTCAGAGTAAGTCCATAACTTGACATACTGCATTGCCAGCTGGAGTTTCTGTACGTGTGAATATTGGATCAGTTAATTTGCAAGATTTGTGCTCCTGACAGGAACAGAAGTTCATATTTCTCTTCAGTTCAGAAGAGGAACTTGTGTCTGTCCAGATGGAGCCGTGTTTGTTCATCAGCATTGGGTTTGTGAACATCTTTAGACTTTTTGTTGTTTCTGGATTTATCTTCCCTATGAGAACAACTGACAGCCTCAAACAGCAATAAATCCTAGACATCACAGTTTTTATTGCCTATATGTTTCAAAGGAGATAGTTGAGCAAGTATAAATGACTTGTACCGTTAATATTGTGGATCATCAGGAATCAAGCAGACAAGATAGATCAAAAGTAACTCAATCAAACTTTAAGCTTCAGCATCACATCAGTGACATTTTGTTTCAAACTGGCAGTTAGGTTTAGGAGATAACAAGAGCTGGATGAACACAGCAGGCCAAGCAGCATCAGAGGAGCAGGAAAGCTGACATTTCGGGCCTGGACCCTCCTTCAGAAATGGGGGAGGGGAAGGGGAAGGGGAAGGGGGTTCTCAAATAAATAGGGAGAGAGGGGGAGATGCAGATGGATAGAGAAGATAGGTGGAGCGGAGACATATAAGTCAAAGAGGCAGGGATGGAGCCAGTAAAGGTGAGTGTAGGTGGGGAGTTAGGGAGGAGATAGGTCAGTCCAGGGTGGACAGACAGGTCGAGGGGGCAGGATGAGGCTAGTAGGTACGAAATGGGGGTGGGGCTTGAGGTGGGAGGTGGGGATAGGTGGGATGAAGGACAGGTTAGGGAGGCGGGACAAGCTGGGCTGGTTTTGGGATGCAGTAGGGGGAGGGGAGATTTTGAAACTTGTGAAGTCCACATTGATACCATTGGGCTGCAGGGTTCCCAAGCGGAATATGAGTTGCTGTTCCTGCAACCTTCGGGTGGCATCGTTGTGGCACTGTAGGAGGCCCAGGATGGACATGTCATCTGAGGAATGGGAGGGGGAGTTGAAATTGTTTGTGACTAGGAGGTGCAGTTGTTTAGTGCAAACCAAGCGTAGGTGTTCCGCAAAGCGGTCCCCAAGCCTCCGCTTGGTTTCCTCGATGTAGAGGCGGCCACAACGGGAACAGCGGATACAGTATACCACATTAGCAGAAGTGCAGGTGAACATCTGCTTGATATGGAATGTCTTTTTGGGGCCTGGGATGGGGGTGAGGGGGGAGGTGTAGGGGCAGGTGTAGCACTTCCTGCGGTTGCAAGGAAAAGTGCCGGGTGTGGTGGGGCTGGAGGGGAGTGTGGAGCTGACAAGGGAGTCCTGGAGAGAGTGGTCCCTCCGGAAAGCAGATAAGGGTGGGGAGGGAAAAATGTCTTTGGTGGTGGGGTTGGATTGCAGATGGCAGAAGTGTTGGAGGATGATGCGTTGAATCCGGAGGTTGGTGGGGTGGTACATGAGGACTATGGGGATTCTGTTTTGGTTGTTATTGTGGGGAGGGGGTTTGAGGGATGAGTTGCGGGAAATGCGGGAGACACAGTCGAGGGTGTTCTCGGCCACTGAGGGGGGGGAGGTTGCGGTCCTTGAAAAACGAGGACATCTGAGATGTACGGGAGTGGAATGCCTCATCCTGGGAGCAGATGCGGCAGAGGCGAAGGAATTGGGAATAGGGGATGGCATTTTTGCAGGAAGGTGGGTGGGAGGAGATGTCTTCTAGGTAGCTGTGGGAGTCGGTGGGCTTGAAATGGATATCAGTTTCCAGGTGGTTGCCAGAAATGGAAACAGAGAAGTCAAGGAAGGTGAGAGAGGTGTTAGAGATGGTCCAGGTGAACTTAAGGTTGGGGTGGAAGGTGTTGGTGAAGTGGATGAACTGTTTGAGCTCCTCCTGGGAGCACGAGGCGGCGCCGATACATTCATCAATGTAACGGAGGAAGAGGTGGGGTTTACGGTCAGTGTAGCTACGGAAGAGGGATTGTTCCACATAACCTACAAAGAGGCAGGCATAGCTTGGGCCCATGTGGCTACCCATGGCCACCCCCTTTCTCTGCAGGAAGTGGGAGAAGTTGGAGAACTGTAGGAAGTTAGGTTTAGGGATTATTTGTAATCAGTTGGAAAGTGTATCATTTATTCCTCAAAACTCTATGCAGACTCTCAAAAATTTAGATAAATGAAATGCTTCCAATAATGCTGAAGCTAAAAAAAATTGGTTAAATGCATTAAATTTCCTTAGACGTTGACAAAATGTTTTTGTCTCGTTCTGAAAAAGAAAATCACACCATTATATAAGACTCAGTGTAGGAGCAAATGTTAGCTTACTGTCTCTCCATGGCTGCTGTCCGAATTGCTGTGATCTCCAGCATTTGTTGTTTTCAGTATATAACCCAGTGTGTTGTGTGGTTTTAAGACTGACAATGTTTTGGGGAACTGAATTTCCTCAGAGGATCTCCCTTGAGATTGATATGTTGAGTGATCTTTAGTCATTCAATGGTTTAACAATTTCTTATCCAGCTTAGTTGTCAGAGATACTGTGGTCTTCGATGCGGATATGGGGATTCACTCATGCCTGTAAAGAATTTGGTTTCACCCTTAGCATCGGGGAAGACAAATGTCATGATAAAGATGTCGGTATCATCGTCACCTGGTGGTCCATTGCAAATGAGGATGATTCTCTCCCAATCTCAAAGTGAGTCCATAGGTGGCTGTACAGACGTATATGGCTTCTGCAGGTTCTGCAGGACTTGAGGCAGAAGGTGTTATAGGCAGGTTTGGGTGTGGTATTGATGTGGCAGTGCATTCCTGTTGCTGTTTTCACCTAGCTTCTGCTTTTTCCCAATGACAAGTCTGAAGGTGCTTGATGCCTTCCCAGAGGTTTCTTCTCCACTCTGGAGGATCTACAGCCAGTGATTCCCAGCTGTCTGTGGGAATACTGCACTTCACCAGTGAGGCCTTGAGGGTATCATTGAAGTGCTTTCTGTGTCCACCTGGACCTTGCCTGCTGTTTCGAAGCTGGGAATAGAGGATCTGCGTGGGGAGTCTCGTGACATGTTCATACATGAACACCTTCTGTAGGGTGAACTGCATAAAGGATCATAACCTCCTGGGTGCCCATACCCATATCACACGAACACCTGAAAGGAGATTCTAAAGGTGGTGGACAGAGAGCACAGAGACTATTGAATCACTCGCCTTCTTAGCCCACTGTCTTCCTCTGCAGCAAACATGGCAGAGATGCCATATGGGGGCAGCTCAGTGGTTAGCACTGCCACCTCACAGCGCCAGGGATCTGAGTTTGATTCCATCCTTAAGTGACTATGTGGAGTTTGCACATTACCCCCATATCTGCATGGGTTTCTTCTCTGTGGTCTGGTTTCCTGCCACAGTCCGAAGATGTGCAAGTTTTGTAGATAGGCCATGTTAAATTGCCCATAATGTCAAAGGTTTGCAGGCTGGGTAGATTAGCCATGAGAAATGCACAGTTACAGGGATAGGGTAGTAGCTTGGTTCTGGGTGGGATGTTCTTTCAAGGGTTGGTGTGGATTTGATGGGCTGAATTGCCTGCTTCCACACTATAGAGATTCTATGATTTCAGACTAAGCCACACCTTTTGATACATAAGGCAGAGTTGATCACCATGCCAGAAACAATCACCTTACAGAATGGAAGGCTGTGATGATCCAAGGACACTGACAAAGAAAACATGCAATATCACAATGGATCGCAACACAAGAAATCTCAATCAGTATTTCCTGTTGCTGAGATCCTCAAATGGATGACACCGGACTACAGGTACGATGATGTCACCTTCCAAAGTCTCAATTTTAATGTCCATCATATTTCAATGAAGTATTATCTTACTTCAAATATGCTTTGCAACCTATCTGCATTTCTAATTTTTTTTATGCACAGGAGGATCCTATTTCAGTCTGGGATGAAGTTCTGAATTCAATGATTAAAAGGGCTTGGAAATAGCTCTTAGCTCAATGTCATAGAGTCACACAGCACGGAAACAGAACCTTCGGTCCAAGCAGTCCATGCCAAACGTAATCCCAAACTAAATTAGTCCCACCTGGCCCATATCCCTCCAATCCTTCCCTATTCACATACCTATCCGAATGTCTTTTAAATGTTGGAATTGTACCCGTATCCACCACTTCCTCAGGACATTCATTCCACATGCGAACCACCCTCTGTGTAAGAAATTTTCCCCCCCTGTCTTTTTTAAATCTCTCTCCTCTCACATTAAAATTGTGCCCCCTATTCTTGAAATCCCTCATCCTAGGGAAAAGACAACTACTGTGTACACTATGTATACGTCTCATTATTTTATAAACTTCTATCAGGTCGTCTGTCAACCTCCTATGCTCCAGTGAAAAAAGTCCCAGCCTATTTAACCTTCCTTTATAACTCAAACCTTCCATACCCTATAACATCCTGGTAAATCTCTTCTGAACCCTCTCCAGCTTGACAATATCCTTCCTATAAATGGGAGACCAGAACTGGACACAATATTCCAGAAGGGTGCTCACCAATGGCCTGTACAACTTCAACATGACTTCCCAACTCCTATTCTCAAAGGACTGAGCAAAGAAGGCAAGCATGCCAAATTCCGTTTTAATCATCCTGTCTACATGTGACACAAACTTCAAAGGATTGTATCTTTGCAACTTTAGGTCCCTCTGTTTTACAACACTACCCAAGGCCCTACCATTTATTGTATAAACCCTACCCTTGTTTGTTGTACCAAAATGCAATACCTTGCATTTATTTAGATTGAACTCCATCTGCCATTTTTTAGCCCATTAACCCATTTGATCAAGATCCTTTTGTAATTTTAGAAAACCTTCTTCACAGTCTACTATGTCACCAATTTTGGTGTCACCGGCAAGCTTTCTAATCATACCTTCTATATTCTTATCCAAATAATTTATATAAATGACAAACAAAAGAGGACCCAGAACTGATCCCTGTGGATGGCTGCTGGTGACAGGCC